AATACAAAATATTTTAACATACACATTTTTGTAATATTAAGATATGAATAGGCATTGTTCAAATGAGCATGATCAGAAAATGTTTATAATCACATGGCAGCTATAACCACGGTACAACAGATGAACAGAAAAATTCAATTAAATCTTCGTATTTTCATAAAATCATAGGCTGTTAATCTGTCTTAAACTTGAACAGCCTTGACACTTGATAATTCAGTTAACCATAACTAAAAACTACAGAGCATGCAGTTTATGCTATAGAAGTACAGAAAATGCCAAAGATGTAACAAAGAAACATGTTCCGGTTGCCCCCAACCATGCTGTGATGTGAGTCATGGGACTCAGCTTACAAAACAGCTGTGCATGTTTCCACTACATTACAATGGATGGGGAAAAATATACTGTAGCTGAGTAGCATGCAGGCCAGTCCATTTAAAAAGTGATCATATACATATGATTTGGTTAGATAACCTGTGTAAACGTGCTGACATGTTGCTTTGCCTGGTTAAAAAGCACCAGAGCTGCATTCTTGACTGATCCAGCTTGATTTTACTCCTGTGAGAAGAATTGTACGTAATGAAGTTCGAAACATTGTACCCGCTCTAGGTTGTTTGAATTCTGGAAACAGCAGAAGTTGGATTCCTACTTATTAAAAAAAAAATCTAGATACTTAGCACATTTGCAAAACATAAAATTTATAGCTGTTGATTAGAGACTTAAGCATATCCAAAGACATACTGAAAGAGATAAAATTAGCAGAGTATCTGAGGCTTATAGATGTGTATTGGATTGGGCCTGAACATAAAAAATGACAGACTACTCACACTATGTATATTACAGGTTTAAGAGTCCTCTTAATAGTAGTAATTGAACCTTTAAAAAAACAGAAATAAATTTATCTTTGCACTTCATATTCAAGGCTGTCTCTAGTCTTTACTGGAGGCTATGTAAAAAGCAACATCCATGCTGAGTGACAAACCTGTAATGCTCTGAAGTACTTAATATCTATCTTATATCAATCTTCTGGTACAAATCTCATCCACACTGCTCACCAATGACTTCTCAAAGATCACCAGAGTGCAGTTATTTAACACCTTCAACACAGCCTATCCCACTCTAAAGGCAAAGCTGCAAGGAAGAGGTGAAACTAAACACGTATATGCTCTGATGACCTGTGACTGACAAGGTTTTCATTTTTCAGACAGATCTTGGACAAAAAAAACCTTGTCAGTCACAGGTCATCAGAGCATATACGTGTTTAGTTTCACCTCTTCCTTGCAGCTTTGCCTTTAGAGTGGGATAGGCTGTGTTGAAGGTGTTAAATAACTGCACTCTGGTGATCTTTGAGAAGTCATTGGTGAGCAGTGTGCATCGCGTATTCCTTCCACAAATCCAAGTTTTATTCAAACATGCTAACAAGAAGGCCAGTAGTTTTTATTTACATTAATAATAAACAAAAGATATAGCAGCTAGTGAGCAGGAACTATATAGCTTCCTAAAGAAGAGCAGTTACTACTTTAAAGCATTTTATGAATATTTATTGATATTTTTCATTGTTTTTGAAAAGCCTTTTGGTAATCTAAGGTCTTCTCAACTAGTAGGTGAAGATAATGCAGAGGACCTCCAGAAAAGGAGGGAAGCAGAAAGGGAAGATCAAGTTTCAGTTAACAAGCTATTCAAATAGCAAATTATTATTATTATTCTGCATCCTACAGTAAAAGAAATGCCTAAAAACTCATCTTACTACATCTTCCAAATATAAATTTAATCAAAGCACATCTTGCTACAACAAGCATGTTTCTGTAACTTGGAAACAATACCGGCAGCTTCCTAGTCTTTTAGGTACGTTAGTGATGCCAATTCATTGCTGGTTCCAAAAAGCAAGCAAAACCGCCCAAAACAAGGCAGGTGGTAGAGGGCTCCTGCAGAGGGGGTCGCCCTCAGCACCTGCAGCTGCCAGGGAGGTTGATGCTCGGTCCCTGCTGCCACTGCCCCACGGGTGGCACTGGAGCCACCGCCCGGAGCTCAAGCAGCCTCCCTCAGGAGCCTACAGCATCCTGACCTGGCTGCCCTCCTCGGGTTGCTGCTTCTGCCAAGTGTCTATTTTCCTAAAGCAAGCAGTTGAATTCGGAGTGAGTGGTTCAAAACTCCTAGAAGCAAGCAAGCAGTTAGCATTTCTCATTCAGAAACTCTATTTTTCTAATTCATTTAGAATTAGAAAATCTGCTTATCTGTCTCATCTGTCCACGGTTTATTCTTAATAGCACTTTACTTTCACCCTGACTTTACAGAAATTTAATTAAATACTAGAATATTTTCTCTTTTCAGGATGCAGATCTTTTATTTAGGAGCATTCTGCATATATAGACATATAAATTAATCTATCCAAATAAAAAACATGAAAAAGCTAGTTTTGAAAAATTCTTTTATAATTTTTTTATATACCTTTTTTATAATGCTGCCTTTCCCAATCTCTTCCACTCCACTTTCACACTTCAGAGTTCATTTACTCACAGCCCACTCCAGCAATCTCAAATCACACACACTGTCTATTTCTAAGCAAGAAAAGCTATACTATGAAAAAAATACAATCGATATATGACAGATCATAACAATTAGTACAAATGAACATATTGAAACCTACCTCCTTGCTTTCCTCCAGATCTGACTCACTGCTAAACTCTTCTGTATTTAGATGTTCAAAATCAGATTCTCCAACAGCTATTGGTACCGTAACAGTAAGACTTGGGTTGTTTATGAATGACGTATAATCACTGCCACCTACAACACTGCTGGTTCCATTCTCTTTTTTGTGGTAATTCTGATCTTTCTTTATTTCAGCGATGGTACGGTTGGAAATGCAATGGGCTCTCTTATCGTTCAGCTGATCTGTTGCTTTACTTTCGTTTACAACAGCTTGTTTCCCCCTACAAGATTTCTGGACACATTCAGCTGCTTTTCTCTTCATATAATCTATTCCCTTCTGAATTCTTGCCACAGCAATCTGTAAGTTATGAATTTCATTATCATCCTCTGTAGCAGAAAGGCTGTCTGAACTAAATGAACTCAGCAGCAATGCCAGAAAAAGGTTCAATACCTAAAAACAAAGACAACACAGTCGGATTTTTTTCTGCAAATTAGGGTGAGAAAGCTCTTATCTTATGCTAGCAGGTAACCTCTGTCTGGGGAGCATACTTCTTGTGGCTCTTTTACTATTCTTGCTAAGAGAAGTCTGCAAGAACTGGAACACAAGATGCTTTTATCCCCATCTCTCTCCCCATATCCTCTCAATAAAGACCTAGAGCCTTGAGTGAATCCAGACTCCAGGCTGAGGATGCTACCAAACAGGTTCAAAGTGTAGGCATTTATAAACCAATTCCTAATGAATTCAAAATCATACAAAACATAAGTAAACAACATGCCTAATGCTAAAACAACTCCATCACTGGTTTCATTGCAATTCTCCCTCTAAATGATGCTCAAATTATTTGGCTACATACCACTAGGTTTCCAATCACCATGACCATCATGAAGACAATAAGGCACATGGCTTGGCCCGCAACCTCCATGCAGTCCCACATGGTCTCTATCCATTCCCCACACAGCACTCGGAACACAATCAAGAAAGAGTGGAAAAAATCTTGCATGTGCCAGCGGGGAAGTACACAGTCACTGGAGATCTTGCAGACACATTCCTTGTAGCTCTTGCCAAACAGCTGCATCCCAACGACAGCAAAAATGAAGACAATGATGGCCAGCACCAGGGTCAAATTCCCCAGAGCCCCCACTGAGTTGCCAATAATCTTAATTAGCATATTTAGAGTCGGCCAAGATTTTGCCAGTTTGAAAACTCGAAGCTGCAAAACAAAAATACAGAGACATTATTTGTATTAGTTACAAAAAATATATAGAAATAGGAGAAAGCAACACATCATGGCCTAGTATCTCTCACTGCAATATTTAAAAAAAAGAAAAAAAGAAAAAACTTCAACATGTTTCCCAAACCCATAACTTACTCAGAAATAGGAATTCCATAAAACTCCCAATTTATAAAATAAACACATTTTGGACCTTTCTTTCTTATCGTTTGCCTAGTATATCTGCATTCTCTTCTATATGAACAGAACAATCCATTGGTTAAATGCACTAGGCTAGTGAACCATAACATGGCATCTATTTCAAGCATTGAAACATTCAAGCAACATGAAAAAAAATAAAACCAAAATATCTGCTGAAGGGAAAAAAAGGAAAAGAAAAATAAAGAATTAAAAACTCTTAAAGGACAGAGTCTTCCAAAAGAAAACTCTCTTCAACAAATTTAAATATATTAGACCCACAGACTGGAATCAAAAGTCAAACCTAAACTTTAACTTGCATATTCCCACTTACAAAGGAAAAAAGTGTAACTCACATTCTTTCATCTCTCTAATCTAGCAAAAAGAACAGAAGTATAAAATAATTTTAATTTTTCAGATATAAGTATAATGGAAAATTAGTCAGGGAAAGAAATCACAGTAACAAAATATCTCAAACAGTCTCCTACTCTTTTTTTTTTTAAAAAAAAGTATTTTCTCTATAACAAAAATTAAGTAAATGTTCAAAAGAGCTGTTCTAATATTTTGCCAGCTGTCAGATATGAAAGCAGACAAAAGACTAGGCATGTCTAATTATCTATCCCTCAATATTCACTAAAGCACACTAATCACTAAACTGTTATCCAGTTATGTTAATATAATTACAATAAAATTACGACTCCTTCCCCTTGAAAATAGTTAGCTGCTTCTAAACCACACATGAAGAGTACTTTGTTAATGACAAATCATTTTGAAAGTCCTCCTTACAGATATATCTTGCGATGCTTAAGTGACATACATCATGCAAATCAAGTGTTGTTTACATTAGTACAGTTAAAATACAAACATAGTGCATTAGCAGATATATTATCATTTATATAATAATTTATATTTTATATACCAATCTAATAATAATAATTTATATACCAATCTGAATGATCGGAGAACGGATAATCCATCCACATTTGAAAGAAAAAGTTCTGCCAAACTAAGGGTGACAATAAAACTATCAAAAATATTCCAGCCGCCTTGGAAATAATAATAAGGATCCATGGCAATTATCTTGAGAACCATTTCTGCTGCAAAGATTCCAGTAAACACCTAAAGGAAGAATGTTGTTTATTGTTATATTATAGATGAGCATGAATAAAATGAACCAGAACACAAGGAATAACTTAACATGTGATATATTTCTTACAACAGCATGTCAGTAAGGAAGATTGTTGCAAGTCGATCCTCACAGAAAAGATAATTGACAATATCAAAATGAACTGTAGCGTATCTTTATTAACATTTTAATTAGACTTAAGATACTTCTAGTGACTAGTAAGAAGTAAACTGTTTATAAAAAGCTCCTATTTGCTCCCTACATCTGCCCTGAAAAATTAAAGTAACAATCCCCATCAAGATATAACAGCTCTTCTTGCCACAAGGGAAGCTACTTTAAGATAGGAATGTGGAAAATTACAAATTGATCATGAATTGGAGGGTGATTTGGATTTATTTGCTATGAAATGAAGTCCTCATGAAAACACAGAAACAGTAAGCATGTCTTTTCTTGCTAGCTGACCTGCGTAGGTGCACTTTTGAAGCAGAACTCCTTTCTGTTGAAGTAACATCCAATACTTTTGGTGTTATCAATGATACTTTTGGGAGATATAAGCAAATTTGGCTACTACTTTTCTTTTAATGCTAACCAGAAACAATTCAGACATCTTTCTGGTTGCATGTGTCATCTTCAGTCCTGTCAATGAAAATTCTATCTGCAAAAATTTTAACATGGAAATTAACTCCTAAATACATTACCCCAAATGGTATTTTTAAACTGCTTCTCATACAATTAAACATTTAAAATGTATTTTATGGGATGATAATAAAAATAATTAAATTACAACTAATCATAGTTCAAACAGAAACTATAGTTTGATGGACTTACCTGATTTCCTATTTTAAGCAAATTAGCGAAGTTTTCAGTCATTGGATAATGTTCCATGGCCATAAACAGTGTGTTTAAGACTATACAAATAGTAATAGCCAGATCAACAAATGGATCCATTACAATTAAATTAACTATGTGCTTTACTTTTAGCCAGGGCTCCCAACAATCCCAAATCAAGAAAGTGTTGGCAAACTTATACCAGCAGGGTGGACATTTTTTCCTAGATTCTTCAAGTTCTGGACAAAACAGAAATGCATAGTGAACGAGATAATAAAATGAAGATACATTTTTACTTAGACATTAAAACCTGTAAAATCAGACTATCCCCGGTCAAAAACAACCTAAAGCAACAAAAAGCACTTAAACTGCAAGATGAAATATGTGGGCTGACCTTAAAAAAAAAGGGTACTCAATTATTTAATCAAAATTTCTACTCAGAGACTTGATGGGAACATTTGAATGAATAGCTGAATTCTCTATCTAGTCAATAGAACATCACAGTCAGGATACTGCATACTTAGGAATTTGAGAAACAACCTTTAATGTAGTTTATTGTTGCTGCCTGTGAAGAATTGGTAAGACTAGGAAAAAAAAAAAAACAAACAGCAACTACAACAACAAAAACAACAACAAAAAAACAAACAGTTAAGATTTTATAGCTACAAAAATTATCTACTTTTACTATGATGGATTCTTTTTTAAAAAAAAGTCCTGACATTTAGAGTTATTTTTCTTCGTAAAGTTTGTAGCTCCAATCCTCTCAAATGTATGATTATTTTGCAAGAAAATTAAGATTATTTTCACTGAGAACAGGTTTTTGAAAATTTATCAAGTTTGATCATGGCACTAGTAATAATCTCATTCTTCCAAAATAAGTCTACTACTGATTTCCTTCTCTCTGCTAACTAAGGCCTTGCCTTTTATGTTATGTAACATTTTTACAGTAGAACTAATGGAAAGCTTATACTAGGAAAGGCACTTCTTTCAATAACTGAATCGATAACATGAATAGCTGGTAGAAAAGTGCATACAACTTTATGTCTTCTAATTAGAACATACCTGTTGGCTTAATCTGATTATCAGATTCTTTCATTGTTTTTTCCACTCTGTTCCTGTACTTCTGTTCTATCATTCAGACTATGCATTTGCAATAGCTACTTATTTTTTGCCTTCTGCACGTGCATCATGAACATAATATCTTCAAGCAAGTCTAAGATTCTGTCACAGACATGTCTGCAATGGTTACGTACCTTCCATTGTGTTTGTGATAATGCTGGCTATACTCATGGCTCTTTGCCTTAAATTTGGATCATCCAGCAAATCCATTGGTATTTGATACGAACTTGAATGCCTCTTTTTTTTTTTAATTTCTGTAGTAGTGCTCTATAAAAAACAGAGGTGCAGGGGGAGGAAGGGAAGATTTAATTAATTCCACTTCAGAAATACATAAAAGGTACTACATGCCCTTTTGATTTTGAAGATAACGCATTCATAATATATGCAGCTTTATATGTATGTTATTACATTAGATTTGTTTCCATTATCATGTAAGTCTAGTATTTTTCAAAAAAAAAAAATCTGTTTTTTCATGTTAGACTTCTGAATATTCTCAAGCATCTTTTGAAATATTAAAAAAAAGTATTTGATAATTAATTCCCAGATTATCACTACATTATAGTTAATTATACTAACTCCATATTAGAAACAAGAATTTTTGGAACAGAATAACATCATCCAAGTAACAAATAAAGACTGTTGCAGCACTGGTATCAGAAAAATTCATAATCCACATTTCCCTGCTTCATGCCTTCTCTGGCAGTCCCAAACTAGGTTAAATTACAAAATACTCCTAAGTAGTAATTTATGATAGGAAATTTTCAGAAGCAGTAGTTATTCTCTTAATTCAGTTTTTATAGGTTAAGCCTTGATCTCTATACCCATTCAAGTGACTGAAAATTCAAAATGAATAGCTATTGACTGTGATTTATTTTTGAATTCACACTCAAACAAGCCGAACCTGCCTTAATTGACTCCAAAAATGACAACTTATTTTTTATTACATTTTTTCAAAGTGAGCTTGAAATTACAGAGTTGTTTTATAGTTATATTATCAAGCTCATCTTAATTAATTTTTGAATATATGAGCATGGATATATATTTTTCAGGAAATTAAATAAATTATGAACAGAGGGTTTCTTAGACAAGTTGTGCACAAGATCCTTCTGCCCCATTCATAAAAATGGATTGAGGGAAAAAGTGATGACTGACCAGAGGGAGTAAGACATACATTTAAAAGTGATTATTATTTATTTTATACTATACCATTGGCAGTGAGAACCTCAGAACATCTCTGACACCCAGGAAAAAAGTTTTCAGAGCTTCCAGAATGTCAACATGATCTTAAAGGTTGCTTTTCCACATTTACAAAACAGATTCAGCAATGGAACATTGCTCATTAAGCTCAATATGCAGGTGTATGCATATCCTATATGTATATAAAATACGTGCTTCTTTGTTCTGATTTATTTTCACGCTTCATCCTTTCATTTTGGGTTGCTTTTCCACATACATGTGCCAAATATTATGGAATTATTATAAGCCCACTTCTCAATTGTTTCCAAAGCATCCCATTTTGTAAAAACACTAGTCTAGTACAATAAGTAATGGTCATGAAGCCTGGAGTAACTTAAATCTTTCTTACATTGTCATCAGTTGTTGGTTTATCTATTATCACCTCTGGAAGAAGCTGTCCAGTTGGTGACAAGAGACAAGGGGGTACGTCTGCTAAGGACACCACCCCATTGCAATCCACAGTGCTGTGCATCTTCCCGTTCATTGGAAACACTGGCAGCCTTCTGGATGTTCTACTGGTCTGGCTAGTGTTACTACTGCGCCGCTCGCTGTGCCTGCGCAGCACAAAGAGAGAACCTCTTCTGCTTCCAGCGTCTTCAAATGTGCTATGCTCATCATCAGCAAAATCATTTTCCGATCCTACCTCTCTTCCATGATCTCTAAAACTGAAAAGACTTGTTCTGCTATTACGTCTGGGAGAAAACAGGGAGCCACGAACACTCAGTAAAGACTATAAAGGAAACAAAGAAAGTAACTTTAAGATCTTTATTTAAGATTTTTAATATACAAAATGTATGTCTATTTATAAAAATATCATAAGATATCATAGGAATATTTCCGTATTTTAATTGGGTGCCTCAGGAAGACTTCAAGTATGCACCAGAAGTGACAAACATCTGAATGGGTAAACTTATAGTACACGTGAAATAATTCTTAAAGAGTAAAAAAACGGGGCATGCAGTGGTCATATTCATTTCCACATTCTCATTAAAGAGAAAAATCAAAACTTTTAGAAATTCTAATGGCCCATGCAGGTTATGAGTTATATTAAAAATGTATATAGCATAAGGATTCTTCCCACTAACACTTCATACTTGAATCTTCCTTTTATGAATTCAAAAGGAATGAAAACACAAAGATTTCAGAAATTCTATTTCAAAAGGACTATGAAAATGGAATGCATTTAATGCATTAAGATCCACCACATTTCAAAGGATAACATGAGAAGAGGCAAAACATTTGTTTACGTACATTCTAAAAAAAAAAAAAAAAAAAATTCAGTGGGGTGACTGATACAGTATATATAAAATTCTTCTTCCTTCGCTGTAATATTTTCCAAAGTTATAGTGAAGTCATCTGGTTACTACAACTATCTCAAAAATTCAAAAAACAACTATTCATAGTACCTGATGTGGCGACGTCAAGTGCTTTCCATATGCAAGTCTGTTCCCTTCCATAGAAAAGCGAAATCCTTTCCTTCTGATACTGCCATCTGACTCAGACTTTGGAAGCTTGCCATCCTTCATGTTATCCTCTTCTCCAGACAGCTCCCTTTGCCTTCTTTTTTTCCTCCTATTTCTCCTCTCTTTGGCACTTTTTGAGCTAAGCTTGGATTCTTCTGAATAACTATCCGACGGCTCACCAATCCCACCGTCACTGCTGTATCTGCTCACTGCTGCTGCAGCTGCTGCAATAGCCTGTTGCAATAATTTCT